CTGATTGCTTTCTTGTCTGAGTGGTTTAGTGCCAAAAGTGAGTTCAGCCATCAGATATAAAAAATAAAAAATAATAAAAAAAGAAAAATGTATCATTATGAAAACTTTTTCCTACTGGGAAAAGCACAGGTTTAACCTAGGACATCTCCCAGTGCCAGCTACCCAAATGCTCTCACTTTTCTAGAAGTAAGTTCCAGTAGCACCTTCTTTAAACAGTGAAAGACCTGGAAATTACATGTCTTAAATACCTATAAAGAACTGAATAGCTTTCACAGTTTCCCTGGAAAATTCCAGATGCTTCAGAGACTCTTACTGCCCAACCATATTTGAAAGCTTTTAAAGGCCCCATAAGAAAAATGGGAAAAAATAATGGCACACATCGAGAGGCAGAAGGACTCACACTTTAAGAGAACAAGGACTGCACATTCTCCCGCAGTGTGATATGCTGCATGCAGGAGCAAACATCAAACACCAGACTTCACTATTTCCTTATTGCCAGCAAAGGGATAAGGAAGTCCTGAGCATCTTTTACTGTGCCATACATGCTCACTGATGCAACAAGATGTTAACATTTTTCTGCCCTCAAGGCTTCAGTCACATAATGACCCTTCTGCCTTTGTACTTTGTAAACAGGAGAAAATCAACAAGACCCTTTGTACCCCACCAAGATAAATCTCACAAGAAATCATGCTTAGGATGAGCTCATCACCTATGTTAAGTGAAAGCATTTCAATAATAGCAGCAAAGAATTAATCTCTCAAATGAGGGAATTCATTATTTTACCATCAGAATTTTGATACTGCATAATAAATGAGCTTGAGAACAACATTTTAAGGCATGGCAGAGATGAAATACTGAATATCTGCTTATTAAGGAAACAGTTGACCTCCTTTTGTGCAATGGGAGAGCTGAAGTTCCTGGAAGCATAAACGTATGACCATATAATTAAGCACTGTGCCACAATCTTTACACAGCACACAACAGTGTCAGTTACAATTGTAGAAACAACCTTAATTCTTCCAGCACTTGAATTTTCCGTTTGACATCTTTCCATACTTCTCATGCAGATTTCATGCTCAACTTGGAGGGCAGGAATCCTTATTAGTAGAAGTAAACTTTTGCTTTATTCCTCACAACACGTAAGGCTGGTCAAAGACACGATGGGCCAGAGACACTTTCCTCTTTTACTTTGAGAGCTGAGTATACAGTACCTACTGAAGCAGTTCATGCTCCATCTCAAGTATGGCCTAAATCCAAACCTGAATTCTGTCTTGAAGCCAAGACATTTGGAGAGAGGACCATGCTAACATCCTTTTTGGTTGAAACCCACCTTTGTAAAGACAGCCTTGAGTTCTTGGTACTTTTCAGCCTAGGCTGAGCAATGCTGACTCTCTAAAGCATGTGTAAGATTTCCAAGAAGCCAAACTACAGGCATTGTTTCACTAGCAGCCAAGATGGGTAGAGTGTTAATTACAGAGCATGTACTAGGGTTCTTTTAGGCCTTGGCTCTGTCACACTGATGGAAAAAATTAATCATGTAAATAAGTAATCATGGATCATTACATGAAGGAAGCAGTTAGCTTTTGCTGCTGAGGTGTGCAGGTACATAACACAAACAAGGTCATCTGTTTATAGAAGGCAGTATTTCCCCTAGGAGCACTGGAGACTGCACTGGTGGTTGCTCTAGATGTTGAGCTGATAGTATTATTAAGGTAACAGATACTAGCTATCCACAACCTCACCACCAGGATGCTAGCAACAATACCTGTCCTACCAGGCAGAAGGGCACTGAAGGATTCTTGGCAGGAGTGTTGAGATCCCGAGCCCAGATCAGCTCAGAAAGCAAGCTGCATATATGCATCTGGAGGTAGAAGGAAGCTGGAGTACACACCAGTTATACTTTCAGTCCATTTTCAGTATCAGATGCTGGACTTTATTATTGGGTAGGAGCTGGTCCATATATTTCAAAGTGTCATGTCCAAATGTCATCCTTAAAAATTCATTTACAAATGAAAAAGGAAAAAAAAAAGATTGTTGTATAATTCATAGAATCACAGAATCAACCAGGTTGGAAAAGACCTTTAAAATCACCATGTCCAACCGTTGCTCCAGCACTGCCAAGGCCACCACTAAGGGCCCATCTACACAGTGTGTGAACACTTCCAGGGACTGTGATTCCACCACTGCCCTGGGCAGCCTGTTCCAATGCCTGACCACTCTTTTGGGGAAGAAATTGTCCCTAACATCCAGTCTAAACCTCCCCGACACAGCTTGTAGCCATTTCCTCTCATCGTATCACTTGCTCCTTGTGAGAAGAGACCAGCCAGCTCCTGGCTCCATCCTCTTTTCAGGTAGTTGTAGACAGCGGTAAGGTCCCTCCTGAGCCTTCTCTTCTCCAGACTAAACAACCCTAGTTAAATTCATTCTACCCTTTTCCAAAGTAATTTCTGTGCCAAGCTGCCATGCTGGGCTAGGGAAATACTTATCTCGATTTAACACACTGGATTTAAAACCTGAAGTTAGCATGTGCTAACTATGTGCACAGATACCAGACAGAATCTCTTTTTCAGTTTTCTCCTTCCCTATATTTCTATTTTTACAGGAGTTGGTGGAGAAATTAAGGTAATCTTTAAATAGACAAGTAATGGAGGAAATAATCTAGCCCTTTTTTCTATTATTTCAACATTTGTTTCACATTTCTAGCCACCAGTACTTGGAGACAGAGTCTTGTGTATCTTCAAATCCACCTTTTTGTCAGGACAAAGTAATTGCCTTCTTTCACAGATCTCTCAAAATTAAAAAAAAATAAAATTAAAAAAGTCTTTAAAACCCAATAGAGCTCCTTTCTATGTCTTTATCCATCTTTTCTAATGCTGAAGAAAGCAACTTCATCTTTCAAATGCATGCTACCTGGGATTATCCCCAAGAGAAAGAGAACCATGGGAAACTAAGCAGTGTTTTTGCAATGCAGGTGCACTCCCCAAAACAGGAATTCCTGTTGATAATCTCAAAAATTACCCACCACATCACTAAAAAAGCTTTCAATGCCTGTTCCAATCCAGAGATTTCAATGAGGTGAAATAAAATTGCTGCGAGTATCCCTGTTTATTCCCTCTTCACAGCCAGCCAGTTGCCATATGGCTCAAGAGTCAATCCATTTTCAAGAGCCTTCACCACTCAGTACTTAGCCTGACTCAGCAAAATCAAGATAGCTGACAGTATCCCAGTGAAATCCCCATTGGCTGCATGTTTCATCTAAGCTCAGGCTATGTGCATCTTACACATGAAGTTGTGAATTCTGGTATGGATCACCTTGGATTTGTAACAGAGCGCATCCCAGATTTTTTAAATGCTTTTACAGCAGTTTGCCCAACAGAAAGAAAGCTTCATCTTCTTCTGGGAACCCTTCAGTGATCCACCAGAAGAGACAGTGACCAGTGAAAACAGGACATCAGGCCATCTTCCTGCAACCCAGAAATTACTCTTTTTTTCACCCCTCATTTTTAATGCAGACCTTTGTTATTGCTTAGAAACAGTTCAACTTATAAACTTACATTGAACATATACTGCACACATTGATATTTTTATATTTATCTATTATTCTAGATACTTACTCATACATTATGAAACAACAAGTTCTGATCAGATAGAGGTTCTGTGTCTGCCTGGTAGCCATTACCCTCTTTTAAATGACCATATGAATACCTTTCTCTGGCATTGTCATACTTAGATAATTCCCTGTAAGTACTTTTTGTTTTTTTAGAAGTGTAATCCAGAAGTTCTTTATTTGCTGAACAATCCTTAATTTCTTTTTACAAGATGCACTATGCCATCACAATTCATCCTTGACCTTTCTTTCTTTGTGAATCATAAAGATTGTGTCAGAAGTTTGACCCAATGCAGACACAGTTTTGTTTGTGGACAGCCTCCCTGAGCTCTTTAATGAGATTCTGAAGCTTTCTCCCAGACATTTTCTTGGGGCACTCTAAGCTGTGCAGTGGTAGGCCCTGCACAGGAAGCACGTCTTATACTGACCAGGACTTCCTCATTCTGTCTACAGGTATTTCCTATTGTTCTTTGTCATATGACACAAGTCAACACACAGGTATTCATCGTCAGAAACATTTCCATCCAATCATTACCCACATTTCTTTCAAAGTTCTCTGAGCTCCATGACCTCTTTTTATAAAACTATATTATTATAAAAAGACAATTTTGACCCTGTCTTGAGGATGAGGCAGCAAAACTGCCTTCTCCCTCCACACATCAATCACTAAAAGCTTATGTATGGTAACAATGGGGTCAGCCACCTTATATCTAGCTAATTTCTCTAGTAAAGGTTTGTTTTCTACATTTCAATCTTTTTCTCAGTCCTCACATTTTTTCATTTCCTTCTCACACATTGTGTCATTACAAGAACACCATCAACTCAAGCAGAAGAGAGTGCTTGCCAACAGTTAAGTCCCTCAGATAAGCAAAACTTTCTTTCAGATGAATCAATTCCCTGTGAGTAGTGGAAGCCGAGGTATGAAAACTAGAGCAGATTTGTCACCTGTCAGCACAAAGAAAGCCTTGGAAACAATACAAAAGATACTTGGACTGTGTCTCTCAGAAACACACTGAATTAAGACTTGTCTTATACACCAGAAATCTAAGCTTGGAAAGCATCCTCAAAAGGACAGAGAAGCTTCTAATATTTAAAATAATGTGAGCATTTAATATATTATGGAAAAAATTAATAATTTTTCTCCCCTCATCATCAACTATTTCAACTTTACAGGGTTTTTCTGTATGGGAGGTGTGTTTAAACCTCCCATACAGAAGGGACAGAGTTCGAGGGACAGTGCACAAGATTAGAAAGTTCAGTATGGTGAAGAAATTACCTGTCTGTATGGAGGTACTCAGGGAACTGGTTTCAATTAAGCTGTAAAGCTGAAACCTGTAGTTCTCCACTGAGCATTATGAGATGCCCAGTGTGTGTTGAAAGCCAGATCCCTTACCTTGTCTCGAATCCCTTGTCTCATAACTTCTCTTTCAGCCTCCATCTTGGCATATTTGGCTTTTCTCTCTTCCTCTTGTTGCCTGAGAGCTTCCTGTCGTTCCTCTTCTTTCTTGGCAGCATCTGGGTCTTTCTCCTCATCCCCACCCAGCATCTTCCCCATGTCTTTGGTAGCCCCTAGAGAAAGCACAAGACAAAGTCAGCCCTGTAAGCATGTGGGAAAACCACCATGATTCCAGCTATTTCCTTCCCCATAGACAGGACCTCCTTCTGCTGGAAATGTTTATCCTTCCACTGTGGGAGAGGCACAGTCCATACAGAAGCAGGGTATAGCTAGTGCACCCAGTCTCACCAGGTGTGTTACCTGGTACTGGTGTGAGAAGCAGGGCTGCAGGAGAAAGACACTGCATCTGTAGACTTGCATGAAAGCAGCATAATCAGTTTGCAGTCCCGAAATGGGTAAGCTGCCATCCACATGATGTTTTCACTCCATCAGCTCAGCCATAAAATCTTAGAATGGTTAGGGATGGAAAGGACCTTAAGATCATCTAGTTACAACCCCT